GGGGTGGAGAGGAATAGCGGAGGGAGAGGAAAGAGAGGGTGTGTTGGGTTGAAAAAGAAACGTTGGGGGTGGGTAGGAGTGGGCTGCTTTAAGTGGAGCGCACGCGTAAGAGGGGGATGGTGGAAGTGGGTGGGGCAAAATCCTGCAGTGATCCCTAGTCTTGGGATATTTGGCTACAGAATTAAGAAGATCAGAGTATTGTCGTCTATGACACCAAAAATAATTAAGTATTAGGTCTCGGACATGTATATCTAAGCTCAGGTTGGTCAAACAAGAGAGCAGATGTCTTCCGGTAAAGGCAAAGATTCCGTAGGTCTCGAGCCAAATTCAAACAAGGGTAATAGATCTAGTCCTGTCGGCAAAGTCCTTTCGGTCATGGAGGTAGAATCAATCCTTTCAGTCAACACTGTCAGTCGAGGCCAAAGACGATTAGTTTATTTGCACTTAGTAAGCTGCTAGCTGACTCTGTAGGCAAGAAGAGCTCTGGGGATGACAATAAGGGCGGCGAAAAGCGCTATTAATCGCCGACACAAACGCTTAATCATCAGCGATCAGACTATTTTTTGTTTCTGGTTTCCCCTCTGACATTTACCGAAGAGACGCCAGTTGCGAAAATCCTGCTGAGTGGGGTCATGAACAATACCACAAGCTTTGTCAGCCCAGATCTGTTCTGCTCGGCAAAAAATAGAACGTCTGGAGCGCTACAAAACAGCAACAAAAAAAAGTCTAACAAAAGGGAAAGGATGTTTCTTTTCTGTGCGTAATTTATTCAAATGCAAATGGTGACTGTTAAAAACTCAGACCGGTGCATGCTGGCATTTTGCACACGACAGTTGTTAGATGTAAAAACAACAGGCTGGTCTCCAATTGCCCGGAGCACATTACGCCTGCAGCATTCGGTGACTCCAGTCGCTCACGTCTGATCATACAGGGGCGGAGATGTGCGCAGGCCGTGACGAGACAGGAAAGGTTGAATTCTTAATCGGACCATATGGTGGTCGCTCGTATTCCATAAAGTGACAGTGGCTATTAAAGAACTAATCAAGATGACTACCACGGAGATCGAAATTTGTTCACTTTTATTGTTTAACCGTTTTGTAGACACCACTCTTCCTCCCCCCCCCCCTTCCCCCAAAAAGATAATTAAAAACTCATTATCCGATGAGCCAAGTCTGTTTGCCAGCGGGACCATCGGCGGCGTATTAAAGCGTGCCATGTTGTGTCACTCGTCACAAAGTAACAGGCCTCCAGTGTGACTAATTTCAAATTGAATTATCGAGAGTAACAACAGAGATCAGATACCCCGCCCTTCTCCTTCTTCAACCTCTCAGGCTAATTCGGCAACGTTCCCCTCTGTTAGATCACTTAGTCCACCCTGTTACCACCGGTCTCCCTTTTCTCTTCTCTCCCCCGACCCGTCAAATTACCAGCACTGATAGTCAAACTTCCTGCGCGGAGACAAACACTTGGCCCCTCTCTCCGCTAATCCGATTGGGGCGATTTGGCGCCGCCTCCAGAGAGAGGCCACTTCCTTTGCCGTCCGTGGAGCGGTCAAGTAATTGGCCAAGGAAGCGATCACTCACTCTCAAGACACGAGCCCACAAACAGGATTCCCCGGAGAACATGGATCACGGTGTTTGATGAAGTGACCAGTTGAAGCTTGAACGATGAGCTCCGCGCTCGGTCAAGCACAGGGATAAATACACAGTCGAGCCTTGCTCAAGAGGTGTCGAATGTCGCCAGCTACATTGTCTACGGTACAAATCTTAGTAATAAGCTTCATGTAATATTGATGTTGACGGATAGGCCGCGGAAATGAATCGTTTCTCCTCTGGCCACTGGGTTCCGTCTCACCTTTAGATGGAAGACTGAAAGCCACGTATCAGAAATAAGGAGAAAATTAATGCGGTCGTTCATCCTTTTTAACTGAAGAAAATTCTTAACAAATGTCCAAGCAGGGATAAAACATTGTCGAAATAACACTGCATTGTCCTTTACTGTGGTAGATGTGACCATTTTAAAAGAGAAAAAAAGAGGAATGGGAAAAGTTGAGAAAAAGTCAATGCAAGTACTTCAGCTATCTGGGCAATAAATTCAACGTGCAGTTTATATCTAGGTATGTTCTCCATTTAATGGTAATTTGCAATAGACGCAGTTCTATATTTGAAATGGTTAAAAAAAAAAACAACTCATTTTCATAAAGAGGAAACCTAAGAAACTAAACGTTTATTCACCGCGGGACGTATCTTGGATGGCTGAAAGTTTTGACTCATGTGCAGCGGTTACGAGATCCGTGTTTCACCATGTTCATGTTTCTACATTTGACATGTTTAAAGTTCTAATTGCTTCCCTTTGAGAACAAGGTAACAATATAGAACATGTACCACGTTTATCTTCCTACTGGGTAATGAGCAGCACTAGAGTACAAAGTTTCCATCCGCAATTAGCGTCTAAAGAATACTTTCTGCGTCGGTGTCTCCGGTGTACTTTTAAATCGCTCAATTGCCCGGCTCAAACTTTTTTTTTTTTAATGATCTGAATACATTAGTATTCAAGAAATGACAATAACATACAAAAGTTTTGCTCATTTTCCCTCAACAGAAATGAATACTGCCTTGGAGAATTACAAACTTTTCTTTGAACCCGATATAGTATCTCCTTAAATCAAGGATATCAATTCCCTCCCTAACGTTTGTCTTTGTGACCTGCTTACGTCTAACTCGGGGTGGAATTAAGCTATTCAAATTGCTTAGCTCATCTCTGTTGCATTGTCGTCCAGCAGACCTATGAATTTCTTTTATGGTATTAATTATTTCGTTTCTGCTTTTTGTCATCGTTGCGCTCTGCTTTCAAGTTTTTACTGTTGTGTTTTGCTTTGTCTCCTGCTTTAGGTCTCTGACTTCCTAGTCGCATTGTTTAGAACGGGATCTTTTCAAACCCTCTCAACAGGAGTTGTCTCTGCTGAGGGTCGAAACAACTGTTCTTTATGTAGTTGTTGCAGCAGAGAGTAATGATCTACCTGTACATGTAACTGTATGCAAATGAGGGGCGTGTCGCTGCTTGACTCACCCGCAACAAAAGATTCAAAAGTGTGGCGATGACACCTCATAGCGAACCAACCGAAAGCTCGAATCAATTAATGACTTCTACAAGGTGTAAACTACTGCACGAGCGATTAATCACTAAAAACGCTTGGTTGCAATACCAGCTGC